CCGTCACATGCCCTCCTAGCTCCTCCCCTGTCACATGTCCTCCTAGCCCCTCCCCATCACATGTCCTCTAGCTCCTCCCCATCACATGCCCTCCTAGCTTCTCCCTGTCACATGCCCTCCTAGCTCCTCCCCGTCACATGCCCTTCTAGCTCCTCTCTGTCACATGCCCTCCTAGCTCCTCCCCATCACATGCCCTCCTAGCTCCTCCCCATCACATGCCCTCCTAGCTCCGCCCTGTCACATGCCCTCCTAGCTCCTCCCCGTCACATGCCCTCCTAGCTCCTCCCCCATCACATGCCCTCCTAGCTACGTGCTCTCACATGCCCTCCTAGCTCTGCCCCATCACATGCTTCTCTAGTTCTGACCTGAGCAGTGCAGTGTGCTGGGTGTGTTAAAAGAGACATATCCAACATAGTCCTTCCCTCAGGGAGCTGGCAGGAACAGGGCAGGCCTGCTCTGGAAACTTCACTGGGCCTGCTGAGAAGGCACAGAAGTAATTTGTAATTAACTTGAAGATTCAGCAGTTAGTGGATAAGCATGGTTGGCATTGCCCTTCTGGTCCCCGGATGAGAGGCACAGGTGAACAAACATTCTGCATTCTCGGCCATTCATTTTTTTACCCACAAACATTCCCTGAGTCTTTCCTGTGGGCCAGGTGTTGAGGCTATGAGGAGGAGTTGGGGGAGCAGACAGCACACCTGTGTCATTAGAAGAATCAGATTCTAGTGCAAGAAACAGAAGTTAACCAATCACACCAATAAATTTAAAATTAAAACTGCTACAAGGAGAAAGGTCAAGAAGGAGAGATATATGGTGGAGTACCAGCACTGTGGGGGCCAGTCAAGGAGGGCTTCCTGGACAAGGTGGCATTGGAGGTGAGATCTGGGGGAGGAGAAAGATGTTCCAAAAGAGCAGAGAGCCCCCGCAGGGCTCTGCACCAGTAGGAAGCTTACTGGGCTCAGGGAATTTATAGGGAACGTGATGCCCAAAAGGGCCTTGAGCACCACATTTAAGATCTGGTCTGTCTTCTAAAGGGTATTGCCTACTGCAGTGTGACCTTGGGTGAGTTATTTCGCTTCTCTGAGCATTGGTTTCCTCATCTGTAAAGTGGAGGGGATGATGTTACTGCCCTGATGCGGGTGTTTGAGGATTAAAGTACTTCGTGCTGCGAAGTGCTCCTAGCAGTGCCTAATACCAGTAAGTTTTCCACATGCCTCGGTAATTTTAATAATTGTGATTTTGTCATCACCATCACTCTTCCAGAGGACGGATGTCTTGCTTTACATCCAAATTAAGCAGCGTTTATCGCCATGGGCATCTGGCAAGGTGATGAGGAGAGCTGAGAGCTGCTTCCTGTTGTCGTGCCAGACTCGTCATTGTTTGTCATGTGACCTTGTTTTGTCTAGATTCCAGAATTCTCTGATGGCTTCTGGACGGGGTCCCAGCTGGCATGCTGGACAAATTCTGAAACACCTTGGTCTTATTTCCCTAAAATCTCCATCTACCTGAGAGATGAGAACTCCAGCAGATCATTCCGCATAACTATCCTGCCTCAGGTATGAACTTGGACTGTGTTTTCTCTTTTTAACATGGAACGTGCAAAAGTAAAGCACTTCATGCATAATGAGTGCATTTCAATATCACACCTGTATTAGGCAGCAATTACCATGATAGTGCTGCGTAACAAACAACCACAAAATCCAGCGGCTTTAATCAGCGAGCTTCTATTTCTGCTCGTGAGTCTGGGCAGGTCTGCTGGTCTCGTCTGGCTTGCTCACATGGTCTCTAGTCAGCTGGTGGTTGGCCAGGGATAGGTTGGCCTTGGCTTAGAATGATCTCCGACGGCCACACTTGCATATCTGGTGGCTCGACTGGTGGAGAGGTGGGGCCATTGTCTCTCACCACCCAGCAGCTGCTTCAGACAGTGGCAGCAGGATTCTGTGAGAGAGAAAAGAAACCTGCAGGTGCTCCTGAAGTCGAGGCCCTGGGACTGGCCACCACCTCTTGCACAATGTTTCCCAAACCAGGCCAGGGGCAGCCCGGATAACCGGGGTGGGGACGTAGACACCACCTCCCAATGGGAAGAGCTGCAAGGTCACATCACAAGGGTGTGGCTACAAGGAAAGTTAAGAATTGAGGCCATTTTTGCAGAATCTACCACAACATCAATATATGTTTGCTTCTGATTTATTTATGAATAGAGACTAACACTGGATGCTCAGAGATGGAAACAGCAGTTTTTCCATACTCAGTAAATCGTTGATTCCTCCTTTATCCTAAGCAACCTGTTACATAGACCAAGTTCCGTCTTCCCCCGTCATGTGTCTCACCTCTTCCTCCCCCTCTCCATCCCCAGAGCCCTCACTCACATCCCCTCTCACTACCACCTCAGGACCCTCCACACACCCCCACCCTCTCCTCCTTCTAAAACTATCACCAGATTCGTCTTGCTAAGCCACAGCTCTCCACCCCACTACTACAGTCCTGGAGGCCTCACTCGCCAGTGTGGCTTTCCATGACCTCACGGGACCCATGCTGACTCCCCAGCGTATTTCCTGCTGCGCCCTTGACCCTCCACTCTTGGTGGCTCTCCTCCAGCACCGGGTGCCCGCTGCCGTCTCCTCGCCTTTGCTTCCGCCAACCCCCCTGCCTGAAATGCCCCCGCCTCCCCACTCCATCTGTGTATCCACATTCTTCCCATCCTTTAAGACCCAGTGCAAACAACCCCTCTTTGTTGAACCTCTGCTGAGCAGAATGACCCATTCGTGAGCTTTGCCCTTCAAACTCATAATGCATGTTTTCTAGTCTCCACTCATCTGGCCCGGAATCATATCTTCAGGGTAGAGTTTATGCCCTTGGCTTTTTCATTTGACTTCTTTTTTCTCTAATCGCACACACACTTATATTTCTTCCCCCATTAAATTCTTAATTCCTTGAAGATGAGAACCATGAGATTTAAAGATCATCCTTCCTTCCCTAGCATTGCCACGTGGTAGAGGGTGGTGCATAATGATAACTGTTGGTTGAATGGACAGATCAATGTGTCTTTGTTGCAGTTTGCTGAATTTGGGATAAAGGAGTGGGACTGGGGGATAGGGAGAGAGGAATAATTTCAGAAGAAAAAAGTAAATGATAATTTGGCTTTTCCCCATTCTCAACTTTATATGGGGGGAAAGTGCATTCCACAAATGGAGAGTTGTAGGGGAAAGGATTGAAAGCTTTATGAGAAATACGGCCCAACAGAGGACACATACGCTGAGAGCTGGAAGCTTGAGTTATATTCTCAGTACTGCCCTTGACTCACACTATAACTTTGAACAAATCACTTAGCCCTTTCTGTGTCAGTCTCTTTAACTATAAAAAAGAAATAATAATACTTGCCAAAGACGTTTTCAGAAGAGTGCAGTATCCTTGGATAGACAGCACTGCATAGAGTGATGTTAGAATGATATGTTTTCAGCATCCTTAAAGTAATGTGCTCTCTGTGATTAAATTTTGGTCAGCCCAACAGCAAAATGTGGACATTATTTCATCAAGGCGATTTGTAACTAAAGTTGAAACCCAGCTTGAGGACAAAGGTGAATGTGAACTGGAGAATAAATGGCATGTGGGTGAGTCGACAGTCAGGGACTCATAAGAAGTAGGAGGAAAGCAGGCATTCATGGGGAAAATCTATAATTATGTCCAGGGCAGGCAGAGCTGAAGGTCTGCTGGGGACCGCCAGCCATTTTTAGGGCTGAGCACTGGGGAGCGTGAAGATATAATGAGGGATGTTTGGGAGTATTGCATTTAATTTGCATAACTCTGGATAAGAATTCAGTTTTATTCTCACTTAGAAGACTGTAGATATCTTTTGTCTAATTTTGACATTGTCCACATTTTCACTTTTTAAAAATCTGCTTTCCCGTGTTTTCCTCATTTCTTATTCACCGTCCCAATCCCGTTTGCTTTCCATTGCCTTGTTGAGAAAGGATGGCAGTTAGGAACCATGACCCGATGAGAACCTCACAAGCACACGCCTGGGAACAGCGCTGGGGGTCCCCTCCTAACACCCCAGCTCTGCCCAACTGAAGCCCTTCCTAACATTCAGGCCAATCATCAAGGCTCCTTGTCACCAAAGTTTTAGAATGAGGCCCCTGCCCAGGACCGTTCAGGCATCAGCAACAGTAGATGGGCAACTGATTGCTAGTGCAGGAGAGTCATGCCAAAAAACAGTGTGTCCATCCCCAACCTATTTTCCAGAAACACATGGGCTGAATCCTATTTGGTCTGTCTAAAAAGGCAGCCCCCAAGCCCAGCCCACAGGCAAATTCTGATTTTTTTTTTCATAGAATCCTAAAAACGTAAATAGTTTCAGTCTAAATACCACCGGTTTGTCTATTTGTGCTATTTTAGTTAGAAGGCAGGCATGTTATTCTGAGACCCAGCAATACTGGAGCTTTCCCAACACGTTACAGAATTTACAGTCTGGAATTTTTATTGGAAGTCAACTGGCACACACACAGAAAGGACAGAGGGAAAGATACAAATTCAGTTTGTATCATGTTTGTATCGGTGTCATCATTTGCATTTTATTTGGTGATTTGGGGGGGTTTTAGTATGGAATTAGTTCATTCAAAGGTAGGAGTGTGTGTGTGTGTGTGTGTGTGTGTGTGTGTGTGCGCGTGTGTTTGTATGTTCTAGGACCTGCTTACAGAGCCCTAAATGGAAGCGTTTTGGTGGTAGCCAAGTGTATCCACCATCTTTTCTTAAGTTACGTTGACCCTCAGGAGAAGTTGTCTGTTTCATCACACTGCTCATGCTCATTCATTTAACACCCATCTGCTGAGGCCCTACTGTGTGCCCGGCATATACCAGATGCCGAGGTGCCAAGACTATGTGAAGAATAGGATGATTCCTTGCCGTGAAGAAGGGTTTACAGACAGACACCAGTCAGTGCAGGGTTCTGACTGCTGGACTCACCACCTGCATGTGGCAGCCGCTTGATGCCCAGCAGGTTATGACTCTGGGAACAATCCTGGCGTGTCCTTGCTCACCTTCATGCCTCGAGACCCCTTGCCCTCCGGTCCTCCCTGCAGGGGGCAAGTGCACTGATGTTCATCTTCCTCACGTGTCAGTTCGATCATGTATGTTTTGATCATGCAGGGAGCATGTGCTGTTATTCATCTTTGTATGGCTGTACTGAGGACAGCATCTAGGCCTTATTAAGTGCTCAGTAAGTGTTAAGCGCGTAGACGACAGATGGATGGACGGACAGATAGACGTCTCCTGGATGGGTGTACCTGTGCACAGTCAGAGGTGGTGTGCATGTTCCTATCACTTCAGTAGTGTTTATCACCGGGCACATGGTCCCAGCTCCTGGATGTCAGGGCTGGTAGCATCCTCTCCATCCTCCGTAGCTCCCAGGGCACCTTGGAGAGTCTGAGCACACGGCAGCCTCAACAGTTTGGTGGCGTTGCCTGACTCGTGTTTTTTCTTGTTTGCTCTTTCCTCTTCAACAGCTTTACATTCAGCCCATGATGGGGGCTGGCTTGAATTATGAATGTTACCGATTCGGCATTTCACCTTCCACAAACGCGCTGGTGATTGGTGCTACCGTGATGGAGGGCTTCTATGTGGTCTTTGACAGAGCTCGGAAGAGGGTGGGCTTCGCAGCCAGCCCCTGTGCAGGTAAGCGATGCTTGGATTGGACAGGGGGCCCTCACAAGAGCACCTGATGTCAGATAACTGACTTGGAAGCAGTTCTTGATGATGAGTCAGTTGGCATTGAATTCTTTCACTCACGCCTATCTCAGAGATCAAAGTCTTATCCTCAAAGTGTACTGGGCGATTGCGGAGAGGAGTAAGTGAGAATAACCCATGTCAGACTTTTAGTCCAGCGCTTGACACATGGCAAATGTGCACTAAATGTTAGTCATTGTAATTATCTCTCATATTAAACGTAAAACGGCATCTCATACCAGGAATAAAAATACTCTATGGGGCCTTGGGGATGAATTACAGTTTTTGGACAGTAAAAGCAAAATGAATAAAAAAGAAAATGCATAGATAAGCTGTGTGTATTTTCTTCCTCAAAGATATCCTCGTTATGAAATCAGAGGTAAATGCCTGTCATTGCTATTTCTAGAAATTCTAAAATCGTGAGTGCATTTTTCTCATAGTATTTTTTTGAAGAGTTGCTATGAGGGTGACACAGCAGCATTATTCGGTGAAGTCTACCATAAGGATGGGGTGTATCTTCAGAGACCAGGAGAGCACAGTAAAGTTGATAGGATGGTTAAACCCCTTCCACTTGGAAATGTCACAGAGTTAGCAGCTTGCTTGAAATGAAGCGTTCCCACAGCACACGATTTAAAGGGAGAATCAGGTACTTCTGACCGATAGCCCAAGCTAGCGAGGAGAAAGCAAATCACAGAAGTGGCAGGAGATGGAGTCGCTGGAGCACGTGCACCAGGGCGGAGGCCAAGGGAGATGCCGCGCTCAGGATAGGGTTTCAGAGGACTGAAAATGTCCCAGTACATTGGATTTGGGATCAGGAACAGAAGGGAATCCCCAGGTTGTACTGGTAACATGCTAAGGGGGAGAACAAGAAATGTGAGGTAGAAAAAGAACTGACAACAAAAAGATAAAACAAGAAAATCAAGGGTTGTAGTGAAATACAAGACTGCCATGTAGTGAAGGAAAGAAAATATGGACTTGATGAAGAAAAAAGTCTTAGACATTAGATGTAGTTGTATGACAGGCAGGGATGCTGGCTGACCATGCTGGTAGCCTGTACTCGGACCAGACCTTCACTCTGATCTAAAACCAGCTGGGGGGTTTGGAGGCAAACAGAGGAGGTGAGGGTACACAGGCAAAATGCCAAATGATCACAGCTGATTTATTCAGGAGGTGAGGTTTCAGCTCTTATTTCTTACTACCTAAATCGTGGTCTTAAAATAGAGGCCCAGTAAATTCCCACGAAGTAGAATAACAATTTGGAGAACAGAAAAAGAGAAATATTCAATGGAAAAATTAAGTATTAGGCCAGTTCCTATTCTATATAAATAAAATCATCTAACCCCAGGTACATATTTGATATCTTGCAATATATCTTCTTAATATCAGTGCAGATTTCTTTGTATTAGTGAAAAGGCTTGGAATCCTTGAGACTTGTCATTTTCTTTTTATCTTAGTCATGAGTAAATGTTTACCTTTCAGCTGTGTATTAACTCTTTCAACCTGTTAGATATCACTGTTAGATTAGCACTGAAAGAGAGCTTTCTCTGTAGCATTACCTGGGACTGTACAACCTGGAACACCACTGTATCTCCCAACTGTGACTCTTTCCCTTCTTCTAACCCAGAGGATCTAAGAACTACAGCAATTTCCCCACAGTTTCTGTTCTCTTGTTAAATACCATTAAAGTAGAGGCTATGATGCCAACAGCTGTTATATCATCCACTTTACTTAATACCTCAGAGAGCGTAATCACCGTATGTTTTCCGAGTGAATTACTGTTGCAAATAGTTTAATCTTAAGTGTCTCTAAGCAGACCGTCTCTTGCACTTCATCATGAATTCTTTGTTAGGTGCTCTTATACAACCTTTTTGTGGCTATTTTTTTTTAAATGTACTTAAGGTCTTGGTACTTAAACATTAGATTTTACCAGCAGTGGGAATATACTCTGATATGTCTCTTCTTTAGTGCAAATTGTTCAGCCATTAAAGTAATTACTTCCCTCAGGGCAGCAGTTAGGAGCTAGACAGTGGTCTAAATAAAGCACCATAGTAAGTGGAAGAGATACCCTGCTTTTCTTTTTCTTTTTAAAAGTGTTTATTTTTAAGTTATAGCATGTTTTAAATAACAAAATGTTTTCAATTGCAAGAAATCATGTATTATATACACACTTGGGAACACCCAGATTTAACAAATGCTAACATTTTGTTATGTTTTCTTCAAAAATTTTTCATAGAAATAAATATAAATATAGCCCCATGCCACTGCCTTCCCCAGAATTACTCTTTATCCTGAAATCTGTGTATATTCTCCTAATTACCGCACACTTATAATTTCACTTTGTGGTTATAACTACCTTGGATTAGTTGTCCATTGCTATATAACAATTACCCCCAATTTAGCAGCATTCCATGGCCTTGTGCAGGTGCCTAGGGGCAGGAATTGAGAGGGAGTGTAGCTGGTGGTTCTGGCCCATGGTCTCTTGTGAGGCTGCAGGCACCTGAAGGCTGGAGGGTCCACTTCCAAGTTCACTCATGTGGTTGTTGGCAGAAGTCCTCTTTCCTCACCATCTGGACCTCATCACCGGCCTGCCTGAATGTCCTCAAGGTAGGGCACTGATCACCCCAGAGCAAGTGATCCCAGAGAGAGAGAGAGAGAGCACGCAACAGAGTCTCCCAAACAGAAGCCACAACCCTTTTATGACCTAATCTTAGAAGTGCCGTGCTATCACTTCTGCCTACTCTTCTGGTCACACAGAGCAACCCTGGTTCTATACTACTTGGGAGGGGACTACACGGAGTAGATATCAGGCAACAGGGGTCACTGGGGGTCATCTTAGAACCTGCCTACTGTATACTTATAAATGAGTACCTATACCAAAACGTAGGTTCGTTTGTTTTGGTGTTTTGGCATTTTTAAATTTATATGAATGCCTTAGTGCTGTGCAGATTCCTTGTCAACTTGCTCTGATTGCTCGACTTTACATTTGGTAGCATTTCCATGTTGAAATGAGCACTAGGTCATTCATTTTGACTGCTGTGTAGTATTCCATTGTGAGAATATACCCAGATTATTTACCCACTCTGGCCTTGAGTAACATGTGGGTCATTTCTGATATTTCAACTGTGTTGAACATCTTTGTGCACGTGAGTGAGATCTTCTGGAAATGGCATTTCTAGGTGATTTGCTGTGCCAGCCTTCAGTGTTACTGCCTGCTGACTAATTTGTCTTCCAAGTAGCTGGACCACCAAAGTTATACAAGAATTTTCATTCCCTCAAAGTATTATCATATTTTTTTTGTTTTCTTTTTTGCCAATATGTGTGTGAAATAATGCTACATTTTAATATTGCTCCTGAGATGACATAACTTTTGATATGTCTATGGGATGGTTAAGCTTTTTCTCTGATAGTGAATTTTTCTATTAACAGCTTGTGCACGTTTTTCTAATTACTTTTTATTGACATACATATGTTCTTTATATATTTTAGATACTAATTTTCTGGGTTATATGCATGGCACATATTTTCTCCTAAGCTCTCCAGCTTTTCTTGGGTTTTGTGTCTTTTATTTACATTTTTAATTTAATGAAGTAAAATTTACTAATCCCTTTTTATGGCTTCTATTCTGTACTTTATTTGAGAAATTCTTCCTTTCTCTAAAAAAAAAGAGATTATTTTTCTTCTAAAGGTACTTTATACTTTTGTTTCATTTTCTTCTAAAATGTGAAGTAGGAATCCAATTTTTATGAGGCCACTGAATTTTCTCAGCATCATTTATTGAATATATGTTTTCCCACTGATTTTTTTCAATATTTTATTGTAAAACAATTTAATATACAGAAAAGACTAAAAATAATACAATAACATCCTGCATACTGACCACCTAGACTTAATTTTAACATTTTGCCATGTATCAGTATGTGTATATGTATATATATTTTTTTGCTGAACCATTTGCAGATATCATGACATTTCACCCCTAAATATTTCATTGTTCATCTCTTAAAAATAAGTACATTCTCCTACTTAACCATAATATCAATATGACACCTAAAAAGGTAACAATATTTACCTAATATCATATAATATCTAAGCCATATTCAACTTTCCCCAGTTGTCCCAAAAATGTTTCCCTTAGCTTTTATTTTTTTTGAAGGCCGGTTGTATTATAGAATGTATCATACTCAGATCCATCTGAGTATTTCCTGATGGTATCATTTAACATTTTTGTTTGATATCATATTTCCTGGAAACTTAGGACTAGAGGCTTGATTAGATTCAGGGTAAATAGTTTTTGCAAGGTACCTACTGAATTTTAATAATTTCTTTGTCATGTATATATATCTGGGTCTATTTCTGAGCATTCTCTTCTGTCCCAGCGGGGATAGTGGTGTATCTCTGTGCTATAACATATGGTTTTAATTTCTGTAGTTTATAATAAGATTCAATGTCTGGTAGGTGTTTGACTCTTCTCCTTATTCGTCTTTAAAATTGTCCTGGCTACTTTTATCCTGTTATTCAGCTTGTCAAGATCCCTGAAGAATCATATTGAGATTTTGATCAGAACTACATTGAATTTATAGATTCACTTGAGAAGACATCAAATTTTTACTGTATGAGTCTTTACCCCATGAATGTGCTGAATCTCATTTGTTTAGGTCATCTTTGATGTCCTACAGCAAGGTCCTGTGGTTTTCTCTAAAAAGGTCTTACACGTATACTTATTACTAGATACCTGTTAGCGCTTACTGTTATTATAGATGAGATTATTTAAAATTGTATTTTCTAATGGATTATTTGGTATACAGGCTTTCCATTTTATTGTGTAGTAATCTTCTGTCCAGCCACCTTGCTGGATTCTCCGTTTTTTAAATAGTTGTTAGAATCCCTTGGATTCTCTTTGGAAAGGTAGATGATCTGCAAATAATACGCTTTTTAGCATTTCTAATCTT